TATATATATATATATATATATATATATATATATAATCAGGAGTCCGTTATTCAGATCTTTATGGTGCCTCATCCGTACATCGAGTAAGATGAATCCCTTGTGAGGGCAAGAAGATCTTTCGTCCAGCGATGTCCATTTGATCGTCGGCACTGGGCATGGAAACATGTACGACCACGTTGGTACTTATGGGCAGACACTCACCGCCTGTTGTTAAAAACGAATGGGGTTATCCCACACTTATTCCGGTTTCTCTTCACTTGTGCAGGTTAAATCAGTTTCCGATTTTGCCACAAACTCGTTTTCATTAAACAAAAATCCTTGATGCTGTCATGCACTCAGCGGAATATTGACAGATAAAATCGGCCCAATGGCAATAAAAAACATTACACACGAGCACGAGTGGGAAGATTTGCCCTACATCGAGCAAGGTTATTTTCGTCGGAGGGAGCAACATTCATTAAAAGAAATATTTCACACGAAACCTTACCTCCAGTGAAGTTGGCCACCGTACCAGAAGCCACTCAACCGGTGGCAAGGGTTTGAAATAGGAACTACTCAACTCAGAGTATGAAATCCGGTGAGGCGATCCATCTTTCGACTTACACCATCTCTCCCCAACTTTATTGAGGATGTTCAAATCTTGGATAACTATCAGCTAACACAGATGACTACTAGAATCATGGTAACGCAATTCGAGTCGAGCTGCTTGCGTACCTGGTGCGAAGTGCTGCGTATGCACGCTCCACCGAAGCGCAAAAAATAAACATCCATCAGGACATTCAACATCCCCAAACAGAGCGTTTTGGCATAGCTGCAATTCAATTCTGCAAGATTTATTCCCCAACACTCCCAGAAGGACCGTGCTCAATCCACGGATGACCTGGGATATTCTGCATCAGTGCATACGAATAGTCAAGTGAAGTTAGATCAGAAAATGAACATCATAAAAACTGAAAGTGGTTCTGGGTCAAGTGAATGTCTGAATCACGGTTGGGGGGGGGGCGCTTTTCCTTAATCGGAAACCGAACAATAGCGAATCCCCCTCTGTGGTGATTTCGAGTTTCTTATTTCTTCTCCTAAGCAGTGTCGATAGTTGACCAATTTGAATTGATTGTCGAGGATGATTTTCCAACCCGCCTTCATCCCTTCACTATTCCAGAAGTGCTCTTTCGTCCATGACGCACGTGCACTGCAGTGAAACTCATCTTACCGTCTTGTACAGTACAATATCTCTACACCGCGCCCAATCATATTAGTCACTCACATGTAGGATAATGAACCGTGTTGAATGACAAAACATCTGAACAGCAGAAGAAGATACCTACCCCCTCCAAGCTTTGTCCAGATTTCTTAGCAATTTCCAAGCGTTGACTGTGAGGAAGAGTTAGATACCGCCACAGAAGATCGGCATCGGCCACTTGACCACTAGGATTCACCAGTTCAGGTGCGGATGGGCGGTAGTTCCTGTGAAACAAGCGAGCCGAGATTTACGAGGCAACTTATAGGGTGTATGCACACGATAAAGGCTAACTCTTCGGATAATGGAGAATACAATGAAACGAGAAATGGGCACCGGCTGATACGTAACAATTAAGCTTGAAGCCAAGAACATGATATAAGCTGAAGCACGTGAGGGAGATATTAGCTTGTGTGCAAAAGTAGTCAGGATATTTGGAGATAAGAAACATTTCGACCAAAAACTATTCCCTCACAAAGGGTAACCCGGGATAGTTTTGAGTTTTTTATTAAAAATACTGTATCTACTCATTTCATATAACCAGATAAAAGGTGCACGTACCAGGTAGGAGTATGTGAAAAATAGTTTAATTTCTAAAATAAGCTTGATAGAAGTCTCTGCCCACACTGACTAGTAACAAAAACAATTTCGATTCCGGAACCAACAGAATATGGAGTAAACGCTGAAAAAGTTGTTCGACAATTTCAATTTGCTCAACAGGGAGGATGGATATCCTCGTTAGAGTTCTACTGAACTGCATAACTCGGAGCGAATACACACTTCCAAGTAGTGCACTGAGTCCGAGATAATCCATTCAAAAGGAGGCCGCTCCAATCTATAATCGAGAGTCGATGCTACACTGGACTCATATGACTTGTTGGCATTAGACCCAGTGAAGCTCATGGCTGATGCTGCATCAATCATGTGGAAATGTGGTGGCAGAACGGCATCCAAAGTGGTTCTATTACGCCTGCCTAGGAAATGCTCCGCTGGTGACCGATGATTAGATACCTAATTGCTTAGAGTAGCGCGACACGCACAACGGAAGGCCTCCGGTGAGTTCATGATGGTTCGCTCCGTTTGCAGATCTCTAGGAGAGCCCGTTTGAGAGTATCAACAAAGCGGTTCGCATGGCCATTTGGCTGTAAGTGTCACACTGTGGTACGGACATGCTTCGTCTCAGTAGTGTTACAAAAGTGTGAAAATTCCGTTGAGCTAAACTGAACTCCATTGTCAGGGACCATGTATTTAGTAACTGCAAACTGTCCGACGAAATTCTTCAGTGCAATGATTGTTTTAAAGGAATTCACACAAGGCATTTTCATCAAGTAATGCTGTTCGTTGACGCGGCCAGGGGTCTACTGGCTTCTTCCAGAGACAAAATTCAAAGCAAGAGAGGGAACTTTTTCCCCAGATCTTTGTCAATGATTGGCTACGTGCTGTTGCTTTCATCCCGTTTTGTTGCCCCCAGCTGTCTGTTCGATCTTCAAATAGCGGTACGATTTCGAACCTATTTTCAAGGTTGTTTTTAAGCTTCTTCATGGAATTATATTTAGAACATTATGCCCCGAAGAGAGCACGACTTGGAATGATGGTGAGTGTTTCTCCCAAGGGGATTCAGTACCAAATCACAAATCAGAATGATTAGGAATTTGATTCTCAAGTTCACCATGGAGTGAGTTTACTGAAGAGGGTGAAAACATTCCTTGTTCACAAACGGGGAACAACTAAATATATGGTATACTGTTTCTTAACGGAAGAGAAATGAGAACCTATCAATGTCCATTGAATTCTCAAAACTGTCACATAATTGTGTTCCAGAGGGTGAGGACGGAGAGTAAACTGAAAACTACAACGTCACTATGGAAATGGGAAATGCGCAGCTAAGTGAAAGACCGAACAATGACCGATAGCTGTGAGTAGAAACACATCGTACCAGCAAAGTTTGGGCAACAAACCACAGGTAGGTCCAAAGTGGTGAATGAGGTTTTTCTCCGTAATTCGTAATCGGCTATACATTTTGTCTCGTAACGGGCCGATCAGAAATACGGCCCCGGTTTGTGTGCCTGGAAGAATGATGGAGAGTGAAGTAGGTTAGCTAACCACATGGAAAAACAGTCGATTGGAAATCAGAAACAGGTAATTGAGATTTTCCGTGGTCCATTATTGCAGGATTGTTACTACCGCCATAAGAAACTTGCCTCTCAAACGCATTTAACAACAATTCATGTATAAATTACTGGCCCTAAAAGGATGAGTGGAAACTGCCCAAATTAGATGATGATTGGATAGCTAAAAGCTGAGACAATGTGTAAAGTGAAGACGTATCGGACCACAGTGAAAAAAGAAACTATATGTGCTTTCACCGCATTAAAAATAGGGAGAAAATAGAGGAACTCCAAAGTCGAAACGTGTAAAGTGAAAACGTATCGGACCACAGTGAAAAAAGATACTATATGTGCTTCCACCGCATTGAAAATAAGGAGAAAATAGAGGAACTCCAAAGTCGAAATGACGCGGGTTAGCTTCTGCAGTGGAAACCCAGATCTTTGGAAAATAATCTAGAAGAGGTGAATGCGACGAATTTAGGCGTCAATAAGACGCACGGAAGCGAAATCACTGAACTTCACGACTGCTGAAACGGTCCATCCTTGTCGAAAAGCATTAGCGACACGCATCTTACAAATCACGAAGAGGATTCAATAAGGTAACACCCAGCGAAGAAGATGAACTAGCCGCCTCGGAGTCACATGTCGCTGATTGAGTCTGAATGACTCGCATCATATTCACCCGCAAAACGCAGATATTAGCTTGTTTGACAACTTCTTGGCGGAAGTTCCACGTAGTTTACGGGTTGTTTGTCTTTCTGAGTAGAATAAACAAACTTTGTTTTCGTGCTGAACTGTACCAAGCTAACGCAAGCTAAGATATGCTGAAGCCATTGTCAGTAGGTCAGTAAGGGCTGGACAAACAGCGTCAGCCAAGGCGGAGAAGCAATATGGAGCACATTTTCCAGGATCCACGCCGGAACAGAACTTCACAAACGTCAACAATTAAAGAGTCTAAACGGGGGAAAGGTTGCCGCGAGATAGTGTAAGCGTAATCTCTGAGGATGTCATTACCTTGACCGAAGACTTCAACACTTTGTAGGCCATCCAGGTTGGTCACACTATAAATACCAACCATGAACTACGATTCGTAAATCCGATCATTTGAGTGAGTCCTGTTGCCGTCATGAAAAGGAGGATGTGAAATTCCAGATGGACAGCGTTTTGGTCTGTGTTTCACCCAGTACGAACCAGTTTTCGTTTTATGGTTTCAAGGTATCGACCAGATTGGTCAAAAACCTACTACATACATTCTGAGTAAAAAAGGGAAGCTACTCTGAAATAAAGGATGGAGAATTTTAGTACCGTCCTTGTAGAACGAAATAACACAAGAAAATACCACTTTTTTCACCTGAATAATTGTGCGGGGGTCATATCACAGATAATCTTTATCGAGGTCAATTTAGACATTCATTTAGTAAAATTGTTGGAATTTGATCGGAAAGCCACTGTTACTGTTTGGAGACCATAAGTGAACATAAACAATGTTTACAGGGAATATAGTTACCTTTTTAAGATGAATAACGGATAAGACCTACCGAGGTAAACTGAATGCTTCAGTTTCTCCGGATCGAGATTTGTTGCTGAAGGTGTGGATAAGGTCATACCTGACGCAGAATTCACCCGCCCAGGTGCCACGAAAGAAGAGACCCCGGCCTTACCGGTTCGTTCGGGGACTTCACTACCACCAACACCAGCAGCGGGCGGAACCGTGTTTTGTGTCCCGGTGCCGGCTGACTTTACGGACAAAAGGGCGTGTCGCAGACGATTGGCCACACGTAATGAACTTATTGCTCGCGTTGGTAGACACATATCTGCACGTCGGACCAAACGTCGGCCGGAGCGACTGCTTGGTTCCAGTGGATCATAACTGTAGATAACCACGTTTCCCCGTTCATCAGTAACTACAATAGCATTTGGTAAAATTACCATCAAATCAAGAAATAACTCTTGGATTGAAGAATGACTACGCACTGCGTAAACATGAAAACAATAGGTCCTAGAAAGCTATCAGCAACTAAGCATCGCACATCGTTGAGAAGTGTAGTGCATAGGTGAGCTGGAAAGAAATACGTTTAAATATTGCAACGCTCGCGTTGTCACTTTTGCCGGAATAGATCTTGGAACGAAAATAATTTCAGAATCGTGGCACGCGTACACAGAAAACCTTATAACTCCAATCAGTTTGCGAAAAAGTTTTTGTCGGTTGGCAGTGTGCCCATTGACATAGCCGGTGGTTCCTAACTTTACTTTCTTGGGCACTTTTGGCCGGTGGAATAAACCGATGCTTTCACATGCCTCAGGCAGGGCAGCTTCACAAGAGTAAAGGTGTTGAGAAATCAGGAGACAGGGTGTTACTGGGTGTCCACAACAAGGATACCAGGCAGAGACTGCACCCCACTGTACACACTAAAGACAAGGGCACGGAAGGTGACGGTAAACTGCATACTAGGGACAGGGAACACGTCGTATTCTAGCATATACGAAGGGTATATCAAAGCGCCAAGGAATAGCAGCCAAAACGAAACTCCCAGCTTACCCAAAAATCCCAAGCGACGCCCATCAACGAAGAAATTTGAAGTGTAAACTTCTCTGGGGATAGCGTCACGACTAACCACAGACAGAACACGGAGATCTGATTGGAATCGGAGCAGCTGAATGGACTTGAGAACATCGGCCGCCAGAATTAGGTTTTTTACGCAGAGTAAACTATGTATGTACAATTCCGAGTCCACAAAAGCCACCCCCACCAGATCAGCGTTCTTCAAAGTCCAAATATAAACCTATGGCGGAAATGATGTGGCGACGTAAAATGTGTGAGATATCAAATCGGATCACATGAATCAGTCAATCCACCAATCAATCAGTTAATCAATCAATACAGAGGTGCTGTGCAGTACAAATGTGCCTGATACGAAAAAGATCCGGAAAGATAGCAATGGAACAAGCTATGAAGAGACTATGCAGAATGTGCAACTGAGAGACAACTTCCGATGATGGACCTTTGTAAACCAGGATAGATCAAAGAGAATTTCTCGTGGAACGGGATTGACGACCTAACTCTATGGACCTTCCTTCTTTGTGACATTACATAACCAATGACCCAGAAAAGGCGGCGACGAAGTGAAAATCCAGGATTGATAAACTCTCAAAAAGATCACGCATTTGTGGCAAACAAGCTACGTATTCGGTTCTAAATGTATACACACACCAAGTGTACACACACATAGGTGAACAAAGTTTTGGGGAGGACTGAACTTTTCCTGAACATTACGATATGAAGTAACCCAGTGTAATCTAGGGATGACGTACAAACTGAATCACGCGACAACCAGGCCAAACGTTTTTGCCAGCTACGGCTATCACCATGTTGTGTCAAAACGGTTCCGTCAGTACGGCTGATCCACACGGTTATTAGGTTACACATGGATTTAGTGAGTAGGTACGCCAAAGGATTGTTCGGTGGGTGGACTGGCTACCCTTTTCAACTTCCTGAAGAAAAAAGATTGAGCAACTTCGACTACTCATTCCTCTGTATGCAACGAAACGGACCCACAAGCGAGTGACCTGACTTGGAATCACAACCTCTGGAATTACAATAAGTGTCAGGTATCCATATTTACAAGAGGGACCCTTGAAATTATGGTGTGAGAACACTCGACAGTCCTAGATTCATTATCCGCGGAAAAGCCGCTGACCAACCTTTTGTCCGATTGCGCTAACCAGATGACCTTGACAGCTGCTTAACGCGGTTACCGGACCTTTTTGTTCTCCGTCGTAGATGGTCTTCAGTTTGTGGCGCGTCAACGGCTGACCCGGTTCAGGTACCACGTCAATCACGTCGAGGATTATGATGCGACCACGAACTGGAATTTCCTCGCCATATGATAAATTTGCTCCCAGAGCCAAATAGTCCTTGGTACCATGGAATGTTTGTTCTGACGAGAGCTGAGCTGTGATCATGCAGGTGACAACCTCCCAAGGCTCAAAATCAATGCTGAGAAAGAGCAGAGTATGAAACAAAAAGAATAAAGTGCCAGAAGGCGGGTAAAACGACCACACTTTCGCTAAACGCAGGCCAATAAACTGGAGCAGAAGGCTAAGGAGCGAAGCACAGTCTCACGTTGGCACATAGGTGGGCGTACAAGTGATTATATAAAAACATGGCTGGGAACTGATAAGTACAAACGGAGTATATCATCGTAACATCGCTAGGGTTACCTACCGGTGAAAACAGGATCTACTATAACAGATCGAACAGATGGTCGTGTTGGTCACATGACAGAGGATTGCGCGGTTGCTCGTTCACCAACACCAGTTTCAAAGAGGGCACCTAAATTTCTTACAAAGGACGGCGCCATCGGGCGAACGATGATATAGTCGTCGCCCTGATTTTATTAAGCACCCGGGGCTTAGATATTCACCTTGTCGTACATGCACCAAGCTATTTCTTGAAGACGGAATGACTGATCTTCAACTTCAGTAAACGAAACTGGAAATTGCAATTTCTGTGAAGGACTGATAGTCAAACATCGTGGTACAGGAGAACAATTTGTGATGCAAAAAACAGATCCGGAAGTAAAAGCAAGCCGACGTAAAACAGGAATTTCAATGCCGTCACAAAGTTGATCTTCTCATCATGGCGCGACATGGCAAACAGTAGTGTGACTTCTGCTGCACATGGGATATCGGGCTCGGGCAGTGACACAAGGGTGTGGTGGATTTTTCGCCGGTAAGCGTGTCTCCTAAAAAGAGCCGAATGGGCCTAAAGAGGACATCACGACATGACACGCGACGCACCGCTATAAAAAGGGTTTTCGTGCCACGAGAACAGAGACTCCTGGTTGGTACTTGGTATCAAGTGCGGACCATGTGAAGGCCAGTGGAAACCACTAAACGTGGCTGCTACAACGCGGCTGGTCAATTATGAAACCAAAAGCGATATTCGGATGGTTTTTGGGGACTAGAAGGCTTCGAAAGATGTTACCCATCCTTAGGAACTTTATCCTGGGACAAAACCGTGTAAATGGTGAACGACTGATCAACAGCCTTCGCTTCCGGTATCCAATAAGGCACCAACACGTCTGGTATTCCAATGACAGTTGCACTGCTCTCCAAATAGTCCACATCTTGGTGGCCGTCCGACGGACGTTTTTTTGAAGACCGTATATTTTACAGTGGATCAGAAACCGAGAATAAATGTGGTCCATACCATACCGTTGTATGGTATGCCTTGCCTTTACTTCTCGAACCCCTTTACATGTTGTTCTACTCACCGAAGTGGACTGAGGTGGCTCTATACTAATAGCGATACACAAAAAGGGCGACCGAACGGTTTGAGAGACCCACCGGCATACCAGCCTGATAGATAAAGCCAAAGTCTTCGCAATGCATTGCTTCAGAGAAGCAAGATCATCTCACCGCAGACCGAAACAGACGGTCTTGCGTTGACCAGATGTTCACGCAAGGTCGTGGTTTGGAACACCGCTACAAGTTCCAGCAACCACCCACAACTTACTTCGTTGACCTGCACACAAAATTTGGCTGACTGAATGGTGGATGCATTAGGTCCACCTTGAAAGTTGATGGCTTGTCAGAGAAGCCGTTGGATCTCATCCCATTCCATTAGTCAGGCATAAAAGCCCTAATCCGACGATACGGGAAAGAGGCTACGGTGCCTGGCTTAAACTCCGATTCTCAGCAATAGCTTTCTTTGGGTCTTTTTAATGGGGCGATTGAGTAGACAAACTTTTGAGCTCCAGCAAACTGCCCAGAGTACCGAAAACACTAGCCACATGGATCACGGTAATATCGATACCCTGAGCAAAGATCCACCGATAGAGAAACAGTCGAGTCGGTGCTAACGCCTCAGTAATATGTAACATGGAAAGCAGATTTTAAACAGCACTTTTTACACTGCGACAGACTGATCGGTGTTAACACATGCTCGTGAAAACTGGCCTCTCCGAGCTGTAACCATTCTCAGATTAGAAGCATTCAACAGCCCAAATTCTTCTTGTCGCCACTAACCTTCTCAGACCTTCACTGTCGCACAGGCGGATAGTTGTAAACCTGGATCTCAACAGTTAATGGGGGCGACACTGGAACTGAAACTGGTTGGCCCTGTGCTCGGACCTTGCAGTCGATCGTGCTACATAGAAAGCAGCAACCCGGTATAGTCTTGGGGGCCGACACATCTTTCTTCAGCAGAGGGTCATCGTAAAGCAAGAAGCATATAAGCATTCTCAGTCAACTGAACAGCCATAGCATCTCACAAATTTCCCGAATTTAACGTAGATATCCAAGTAGGAAATCGATACTCCCACAAAGTAAGTCTCATGAGCACTAGTAATAAGATATCCCCAAAGGTTGTTGTATTGCTATGGAGACGCAGCGGCACACGTGACAAGTAACCAGGCAGATGTGTCCATGTTCTGCGCGAAGAATATAACGGAACCTAAACAGCGTGTTCTTTACCTGTCATATTAACTTGAATTCAAAGTACCCAATGCAAAGGGCAGATGTTTGACTGCCGGTAACGACCGCAGTGAATGCTATCGGCACTACTCCGAACAGTTCTGCGAAACATCCGTGGATGATACCGTCAAATTTGAGTTTCCTGCTCTTGCCACCTCCACAGCTGCCTCCCCTATCATCCGAAGAACAGCTTTTTGTGTTGCTAGCACTATAATGAGAACGAAGACATAAAGGGACTCTAATGTCGAACGCAGCCATCGAGTGCATAAGTGGGCACGCAAACTCGAAAAGACAAGATAATCCATAGGCTATGTGCCATTGTTTACTGCTTTCTTACCAACTGTCAAACGGCAGTGACGGCTCGGCAGCAACATATATTTAATAAATCAGACAATGTTTAACATGACAGGGAGATGAAACCCAAGGAGATCGACTGGTCTCACAGACATGATGCAAAGGTGAATTAGGGTGTAGCAATGGTACTTCATCTTGGAAGAAATTCGGAACTGTGCTGGCAATTGTCATAACGAACAGCAAACGGGAGTCAACTCACCATGCATGTGGGATTGCTTGCCAGGGAGTAGCTTCGGCTGAGCCGGTGGAAGGGGCATACATTTGGAGAACGTAATAGTCCAAAGAGGGTAGAACACATGTGGGAGGCCGGAGAAGAACTTCCTCTTCCTTGTTACCCTCTGCATTTAAGTGATAGACTGAAGAACACGGTTTCACTCGAGTTCCCACCAAAGCGTAGGTCTGAAATACAGAATTATACGTCACCGAATGTTCTTGAGTAAACATATTAAGCAGCTCGTCGAGAATAACGAACTGAGTGAATACTACCTCCATTAAATGGCTCGTCGTAAAACGGAACAAGTCAACAGAGCAAAATGGAAACCGGGTTGTCGACAGCTTTAGGAACAACAAGTGCTCATAGGCCGAGTTTGGAGTGAATCAGCGTTCAAAATAGAACCAGCACTAACGTTCGAACTGAAGTTAAATAAGTCTGTGGGTAACGTTTACACCGCTATCTGTAAGTGTAGGAAACGGCTCGACGAGAGCAACCAACAAGCCAACAGATTACGAGGCAAAAGACAAAGTGAGGTTGGTGAGTAAGGTGAATAACCGTCCACGCATTTATTTTATTCTGGCGACCGGGATGCCACCACTACCCAGTGAGGTGAACTGTTTACGTCATGTCGTGTTAACGGATTTTCATCAGCCGATTTACAGACGGATTGGGGGAAAGCGCCGTTGGGTTCTGTCAACTGGTGCAGACCATCGGAAAAATTAGAGGAAAAATATAGGGAAATTTTCGTTCCACACTAGTGACGCAAATGATGCCTCCTCAATGAAATGAAAATAAAGAATTAATCATCACAAAATAATGACAGACAGCTATTGAAGAAATGACGACAACCAAAATGGAAAAGCTGTTTCACCCTGACGAAAAGCAGTCATTCCCGTTTGAGCGGAAGAAGCGGAACAAAAGGAATAACATCAGAGGTAAAACCGTGCGGACCACACAGCTATCGGAATAAGGACGGTATAAAATGTGCGGGACCGTAACAGTTGTGGTACATGACCTGTCACTTGATTACACTCAATGAAACGAAACGCTGAGACGATATTGAAACTAGTCCTTCATGCATCTTCGTGTCATACTGTTGTAACTTGCTGAACGGTACTGCAACTCTGTATCGGTCCCTTGGCTTCCTGCTCCGCCCACTACGTATATCAAAAGGCACGGTAGCTCTACACACGCGGGAGACAAAGGAAAATCATTACAACTGTATTTATAGGAAGGTCACAAAGTGTTCCACAAGGTCGTGCCAGAATCTCCGTGAGGGGGCGAGAAGCGTCGAGTCAAAGGTGCCTGACTCGGATTGGCTGGCATTCTGACCAATCAGGGTATGCCTTCGTTTGGCCCGTGTCCTGGCACGTGACAAACACCCAATGATGTGGTGTTCGATTATCAGGGACAGCTGGCCTCCGTACACATACCAAAACAGAGGAAAACGCACAGACATATTCTCGTCTTACTTCCGAATCATGCTTGGAGCCTTGACCTACAATCTGAAGCTGATTACGCCTTACGAATTAATCGAAACAATAGCCCTGATGTGCGAAGCACGGCAATTCCACAGGATGTTTCGTGTTGACACTCCTGTCTGAAACCAAGTCTACTCTAAGCCGCAGGACACTCGGAATGTTTCAAACCATATTGGAATTATTTATTGTTCGGTGAAGAATTGATGGAGGTACGGAAGAAAGTTTGTCATGATGCGCACATCTGGAGATTGACATGATAGAGTAATGATAACAACATCGATTAATCAACATTTGCGTGGTGTGATAAAGCGGGTAAAGCTGGCACAACACTTCACCCACGAACTCTACCTTAATTGGCATGGTGACAAATGTATCAAGGCCAGGCAGCGAAATAAAAAATCTGCAGTGATATCATAGGACTATTAATAAGGGCTCGTGTACTTTACTTCAGAGTGGAATTCAACTACGATCCGTTTGCGATTGCTCACAAGCTTTGTTTGATGAGTACTTCAAGATCCTATTCGTCAGTATAAGGAAGGTCAGCTTCCTGAAAGCAACCACTGAATGCCCGGAATCTACGGAGAATCTCAGCTCCGCTGAGTGCTGACCAGACAGACAACGCCCCCTCAATGTGCAGCGCGTCACAGCCTTGCATCAAACCCAGACAGCGCGAGTCATCGTTGATCAAGAACAGACAACGCCTCCGCAATGTTCAGCACGTCGCTGCCTCGTACTAAAGCCAGACCGCGTGCGTCAGCATTGGACCAAGTTCAGACAGTGTCCTTCCAATAAAAAGCTTGAGGCCGTTGTACTTTTCGCACTCGCACGCACTCGCAACCACTTTGTAGGGATATAGCTATTGTGTTCCTTTTTGTGAGTCTTTTTCTCTCCGACACTAGGCACTGGAGCGGGTCAGCAGCAGATACCACAGGCCGGCGAATCAGCAGATATAACAGACAGTCACTGTTCAGACTTTTCAGTGTCCAGTTTTCAGACGGTCGATATGAAGTGAAAAAGTAAAAATTACTTCAGAAAGATGGCAAGCAGACGACACTTTGGTGGTCCTGTTAAGAGTCTACTCGGTGCCAGTATTACAGAGTGACTGTGATTTGTTCGCACTATATCACAGGTTCATTAAAGTTAACCCTATCAAGGCGATTTAAAAGCCAATAGGCTAAAGTATAGCCAGGTGAAGTCGAGAAGCACTTAGAAAATTTGGCTTGCGTTCATCCTTTATGTGCACTTTAGTGTGCACCGATGGTGGTAAGAAAGCAGATGAACTGCGACATCGCCAGGTTAACGAAAGCGCGCTCGAAAAGATAGAGGTGAATTCGAGACGTGGACTTTATGATCGATATCTTGGACCTTAGTTCCTTGTCTGTTTTCAGCTGCGAACCATCTTTTGGCATGCTCCTTGCACCTTCAAAGTGTAAATTCATGTGCTTCAGAACGTGCCACCTGCGAACATATCCCTTACAATCCAAGGAGAATCACTGGAGGTTGTGGAAAAGTACACATGCCTCGGTGGTTGTATTAGCTTTGACGGAAGTGTCTGATAAAGTCAGTTCAAGAATCCCAAAGGATCGAACCACGTTTGCTAATTTGCGTCACTTGTGGCGTCAAAAAGGCATCTCACTGGATCTTAAGGGTCGTGTGTATCAGACTACAGTAAGGGCTGTGCTGTATAGGTGCGAGACATGGCCTCTGTGGACAGATGATGCGAATCGTCTTCAGGTTTTCTACCACCGCTGCCTCAGAAACGTGGCTGGTTGTGGATGGCGTCAGCGTGTTAGCAACGAGGTGATTAAAAAACGGGTATTTGGTTGTGCTGCAGGCACCACAATCCGAGAAAACATCCAGCATCATCAACTACGATGGCTCCATCATGTGCTACGCATGCCGATACACCGTCTACCGAGACTAGTGTTGTTCTCCGTGCCTCCGCGCAAACCTCGAGGTGGACAGCACATGACTTGGCAGAAAGGCGTCAAAGAGATCACGGAAAGTTTGGGTGTTGTTGGT